TCTTTCTTTTTATGTGATGAGAAAGAAATTATTTTACCTCTCATCACAGCTTTCCCTGCTTCCCATAGAACAGATATGTAACTGTTTCCACTAGAGATCTACCTAATTTACAGCTCAACGTAATGTAGCTACATACATAACTGAGATTTTTTTTCCTTATTAAAATATTGTGCTATATCACAAATACTACCAAATATACAATTTCCTATTCATGTAACATCCTAAGGGTGATATTCTACCTGCTTTCATTTCAACTTGTTAGCCCAGATGTTAGTCAGCTAACAGAGGGTGCAAAACGCCATCATGACAGACAGGCTACAGAACAACAGGATGAATACCAGGCACCATAATGTGTTCATAACAGAGGCCAAACAAGTGTCCATAGTGTCTATGTTGAAGAGATACCCAGAAAATTAAGAGCCAAGAAAATAACTAGCATGTTCTCCAAAGAGCCATCCAAAGTGTACTCTCAGCTGAAAGGGAACAATACTGATTCACCCAGAGCTGACACTGACCAATCCTGTAAGAATAATTAAGAGAAAGTAGCTGAATAACCTAAGAGCACAACAACTTCCTAGAACAAGAAGAATTATCCTGATCATTAAGGTTTTCCACAAAGGTATGACACATGCGAATTACCTACCTCGCCACAACATGGAAGCTCCTATCATAGCAACCAAGCTGACTAGGCAAAAGTCAACACACAGCACAGTTAAAAGGGCATGACAGATAACACCAAAGCACCAGCTCCTGGTTGACAGAGCAGTAGATCAGGACCCCAAGACATATCAATCTCAGCACTGCCTGGACTGACTACAAGTAAGCTTTTCTAAGGAACTTAGGAAAAAGGTAGCAGGACTTTTGCAAGTTTCACAAAACTTAAAGACGTCTAGTCACATTCTTACTAATCTCCTTAAACTAGTATGAGTTGGATAACTGAGAACCTACACAGAAATACACAAAAGCTAATGAAATTCACTATGGACAGTGACAGTGCTGGAAGCCCTTACCTGTATTTTTATTAATTTTAGTGATTTGTATTTAAAAACTACATATTTAAAAACTACATAAAAGAAAGAAAACACATTTGTGGTTAGTGATTCTTTATTAGGTTCATTTTCTAGTATTTAAGTGAATCGCTTGTGGAAGGTGAAGAGACAGGGGGACTGGCCATTCGACCTGTGTCAGGAAAAAGAACCTTAGTTAGAGCTGTTCACATTTTATCATTATCATTTGTCTGTAACCTAAATTCTTTATATAAGTATTACGATAAGTGTGTTAACAGGACTCACCTTTCCTGGTTGTTTCTTTTGCAGGATGTGGAGCAAAAGAGTAGAAGCAGCTCAATCACCTGCTTATGAGCTCCTGGAGCAAACCAATATCCCAGGTTAGGGGAGTGTGGTTAAGGTGTTTTAATTTATAAAGAAGTGGTTGAAGTCTATATGTTATTTAATTATTTATAGGACTTGGTAAAAATATAAATGTGTCTTTCATGTGTTGTATTGTGGTTTGATGATGGCTCATGTGGATGTTTATGTTTTCATTTGGTTTGCTAACTCTAGACTTGGGCTATTCTAGATGCTCACCGGAATCAGGTAGAGTATAAAATGGAGCCAGTTGCTTTTAGAGGTTGTTGGGTTCTTTGCTGTGTGTTGGTGCGTAAACTCACGGTCTCTTTAATAGAGTCTTCCAGTTAATGGATAAATTTTATTCCAGTCTTATGCCATTTTGTGTGAATGTAACCCCCTAATTCACCTCTTCATGAAAAGTGGATACGAATATATAGATTCAGGAGTGGAGTGAACACTAGCGATGTCAAACCATTCGCCAGTAAGTGAGACATTGACTCACTGATCCACAAAAAGGACATAGTTATGTCAGAGAGAGAGTGTCGACAAATTGTGTGGTTCACAATTTGATATTTTGAAAGATTTCATCTACTTCAAGCATTTATTTGTACTTGCCTGATTTAAATGCCACAAAATCTTATTTCTTCCATCTGCTCAGTGTTATTTAAATACTGTTCAATATGTAGCTTTTAGAAGAAATGTTTAGATTTTGCATTGTGGGAAGCAATTTTTTTTATATTTCATTTATTTAGTTGAAATATTTTTTTCTTATACTTGAAATAGAACCATTATAAATAATTCATTTCCTATGGGTGTCTGTGTTATACAGAAGTATAGTAAGTTAAAAATCAGCTTATATAAAAATGTTTGTCAGTCAAACAGGGAGTTACCTTGACAAACTGAAGATCTGAAAGCGCTCGAACACAGAAATCTGGTATGTACTGGAAGGGTGTGCCTGGGATCTGAGTGTTGCTTCCACAGACGGAGCCACTCTCTGGAGCCCGTTCGGTGCAGCTCAGAGATGCCGAGCGGTTGAGGTTGCCCCCATGTGACGGAGAACGGAACTCTAAGGATTAACAGAGAAAACAGTGAGCAAAAAACGACAAGGGGTCTCTAAAAGAAAAGTAATTAACAAAGCTGACATGAATGAAAAATGGAAACAAAAATAATTGTGAGCAAGGAAAAAGTGAAGGCAGCTGGGTGAATTAGGTGGTGAGGGCTGGTGTAATGAGTACACAGTGCAACAGATCACACAAACACACACAAAACATATAAATGTCATAGTTGTGCTATGACTGCATGAATGTGGGGAGACTGTTTGTCACGCAAAGAATGCGCCAAACATGCTGTGTGATGATGCAAAGAGCATCATTTGAGCATTTTACAGCTGAGCTCTGAGAACAGACTTCTGTCATTGGTTTTACAGATGATTTAGGGTAGAGGACGGCCTATCATAATTGGATGAGCAAGTTTAGTAAGTGAGGAGATACTGGAGAAGTTTACCCTTTTGTAAAAAAAAAATATGCTGATTTTCTTTCTTTTAGAGTTAGGTAATAAAAATTAGCTTAGCTTAGTTTATAATTAAGACTAGGAACAGGGTTGAACAGCTAGCCTACCTCTGTAGAAAAATCACAGAATCTGCCACTTAAAAAAAGACTACAAAGTTCCACCCACAAATACAGATGATTATGAACAAAAGCTTTCATGCAATGTGAACATTACAGCTAAGAGGCACTGAAATTCAGACTTAGAAATTAACTCCCACTTTCATAAGATGGCAGATACCACCTGCAGTGGGATTTAGCAAAAACTGCATGTGTGATTAGCTTGAGAAGCTTCTTCAGTTAAGAAGAGCTAAAGTCTCTGGGATGAGAGGTGAGCTTTTCCATTAAATTAATGATATCCAGTTCAGCTTTCCCATTACAATACATACTATTCCCATTTCTGTTGTAGAGGAAATGGGCAAAATCACAGGAGATTTGCCCATTTCATTCAGCCCTCAGAAAGACAAATAAGCACATTCTTCAAAGTGTCAAAACTATTTTGTTAACCAGAGTTCTGCAGTCAGATTAGTGTAGCTGTTGATAAATATCACAAGAGTGATGGAAAACCATCTGAACGTAGATCAGTGGTTAGCAGGAGGTGTTAGTTTTGACAGGGTTAGAAATTAGAGGTCACAGCGTCAAGAATCCCATCCAACAAGTTGCTCATTTAACTGTCACACCTGCCTTCAGAAGAAGACACAAACAGACCACATGCAGCATCAGCAGTGAGCGCTTCAGCATGTTCAAAATATACAGCAGCACCCAGCTACTGATTTTACTACAGAATAATCAATTATCTATCAATGAATATGGACAATAAAACCAAATATTAACTAAAGGTCCATTTACAAGCTGATCATAGCTTTCAGTCGCATTTTGCAGTGTTCCTGTGAGATGGGGCCATTAAATGTTTTTTTTTTAAATATCCTCGCTCAAGTTATAGAAATGAAACTCATCTCGTTTTAGTGGGATATAATGTAAACTGTATATCAGACAACACAAGCAATTAGAAGACATGATAAGCTGCTGTTTGTCAACATTTTAGGACATTATATTAATCAGCTTACTTTATAAGATGTCTGAAAATGATCACAAATACCTATTGTGAGTTTTCAAAGCTGAAAGCAAACAGTTTTCATTTAACTTCTTCTGCTAAATAAAAAAAATCAGAGGTCAAAAATGTTTAATTTACCATGCTTTCTGTAACCTTTTAATCTTTCCAAGGTTCATTTATGATTTAAAATTTTCTAACCAACTCCTTTTTGGGATTTTCTTACTTCCAGCTCTTGCTTTAAGACACAAACTTTGGAGAAGTTTGAAATATTTGAAAGCATGAGTTTGGTTGAGCAGTGTAAAAACCTTACACCTTATAACCCTTTTAGAAATATAATCATTGTTGGTAGAAATAGTAAAAACCCAGAAAAAAGGGACAGCATGAAAAAAAAAAAAAAAAAAAGCAAAACACCTTTACTTCCTACAAAACATGTGTTCTAAAACATTGACTTGTTGGATCAGGACTCTGAACATGATGCAAGAAAAGAAAGGGGGCGGGGTGATGGTGAGAAAATCTGATTAAATACAGGCCCCCGGGGCTCTGCCTCCACAGGTCCATGCAAGTATTTACCTGGGAAACGAGAGAACAGAGAAAATCTCTTAAGAGAGAGGCGTCGTGGAGGGGGGGAGGCCACTGACGGGGAAAGAGGAGGGGTGACAGCTGAGAGAGAAAGAAAGGGGGCAGAGAGAGACATGAGCGGGTTTATTTATTTATTTATGATTTTTCTCCTGATTTAGTTAGACTGGATCACTCTACGTACTCATTTTTTATTACCATAGAGCTTGGAAGTTTATTCCATTGAACTCTGAGGATAACGTAGGAGATTCTCTGAATGTCTTCTTCATCAGTAATATAGTCTTCCTACTCCCTTGACCTATAATTGAACACTTTCTAAATGGCTTTATTCTCTCAATTGCTAGTTTAAAGTCCTATTAAATGTAACATGATGCTCATTTTGTTGGTTTGTGCCCAAATGGGTTAATAGTTTACAGTTTGACTACTGTTTATGTTCAGTGCAGCCATCTTGGATTACTAATTTTGGGTTTGTGGAACGCCCCCTCAGAGTTGAGGGGGCGTTCCACAAAAAAATTCAGACTCAGAATTTTTCAACTTCCAACTTATTCAGCAACACACCACAACATCCGAGTTCTCACACACTCAAAGCCCTTAAAAAGGGAGAATTGTAAAATTCAACAAACAACAGACAAAGCATTAGATAATGTCCTACAGAAAAACAACCCCACCACAATTTCTACATAAATGGAATGTTCAAGTTTATAATTCTCTCTCTGTCTAGATTACATGATATCTGAATGCATCACTGGAATAAAAGTTACTCTGTTTTCAGGATTAGAAATGGTCAAGTGTTTGACATTTACATCCCACACACTGAGGTGGATAACGTGCACATAAAGCAGCGGTTTATCAAGTGGTGACAGAGCAACAGAAACAGGCCAACAGGGAAGAGAAACAAGAGAAGGGACAGTAGCTATATCACAGCTCCCTTTAAGTGTTTGACATCTTATTACCATGACAAAAGTCACTGACAGTGTTAGATATTTGTGACCTGATTCAATCTTTAATGTAAATGTCTGGAATTTTGTGACTAGTGGCACAAAGATGAAATGTTCACAGTGTAACCTGCTATAGACAGTCAAGGACTGTCTGAACAGAAATTCATTAAATTAAAAAAAAAGTCTTTCAAAAAACATGACTGCACTGACCAACATTTTTTAAAACATTATTTTTCTTGGATTGCACAAGAGTAGCTTTGCATGATTCACAATTCAAAATAAGTCTAAGATAAATTTGTATTCATACTGGGCCTTGATGGAGCCCATCAGTTCATCCTTTATTTGACACAAGCTTTTCAAGCTTTCAGCCAACTTTCTTTTGATTGGCTGCCCCTTACAAAACGTAAGCTTTGAAAAGCAGGTTCTGTGCTCACAGCTACAGATGACCATATTAGGGATATATGTTCTCACTGACAACAAACGTTTAACAGTACTTTGTAGGATATCCACTTTAAGACCTTCACGTCCATGTTTCTAATTTACTACAGATTATGACAGGGTTGGGAAGTTCATCTTCAAGGTATGCAGAGAGAGGTTTGGTGAGGTTAGTTGAATGGAGCCCACAGCCCCAAGGATAGAGGTATTGGGGGAGAGAGAGAGAGAGAAAAAAACGTTATCAAAGACACCCGGCAGCTCTGTCAGAACTGGGGGAAAGCTGCACCAGATGAGAAAGCCACTTGAAGGAGCTGTGGGACAAGATCAAACGATGGGAATTGATAAGTGATTCCGATTCACTTATCGATTTGATGTCATTGGGTTCTCATTGCCTCCATGGCACCAAGGACCCTGGACAAGATGGGATGCCGCTATTAACATCTGGAGGATGCCACAATCCAGACTTACTTTCCTTTTAAGGGAAACCTATGACACCCTCCCATGCCACTGGAATATCACACAGTGGTACAATGAGGAGGTAAGCTGTTCTCTCTGTGGGAGCCCCAAGGCAAATTTCCAGGACATATGATCAGGATGTAAGGTGGCACTGACTCATACTGTAAATGGATCTTTTGTTTCAACTCAAGTGTGCTAATACATCTCCCCGTTTCCATCTCTGTCGGACAAACAGTAGCTGTCACATTTAATAGCCATTATATAGGAAACTGTTGTGACTTGCTGATCTAAAAAAAAGGTGCTGGCACTGATCCAGTCTTCAGTGTCTGTAGCTTCTGCAGTTCTATAGATTATATTAACTATAATAAGTGTAAGATATATGAGATATATTTTCTGCTGGCATATTTCAAGTGTGCATGGAAAATTACAGAAAGGAGGACAAGTTGAATCTTTTTTTCCAAATACAAATCTTTCATTCTCATTTTCCTTATGCAGATTTGTTTCAAAGTTTAATAAAAGCTTATGTACCACTGCAAACTTTGAAATACATGTTAATGTCAGCTTGCAAACTTAGCTTGAGTCTGTAGGTGTCTTTCCATAGGGCAACATCCCTTGCTTCCTTATTTTCGTCACCTACAGTCATGTGAAAAAGTACTTTGTTCTTACGATCTACTTGGTCTATTTGGTTCACATGACTCTGTGGAGCCCTGTGAAAAACCAAGTACATCCATACTTGCTTCCACAGGAATTAAGAGGGTAAGTAGAGTAAGAACATGGCTTCAGTTTTCAAAGCTGCACTTAAAGAAACCACAAAACTTGTGGAACAATATTCTTGAGACAGATGAGACCAAAGTAGGAATGTTTGATCATAGTGCACAGTGAACTGTTTGGACAAAACCAAACACACGATGCCAGCATGAATACCTCATACCAACTGTCAAGTATGGTGGAGGAGTGATGATTTGGACTTGTTTTGCAACCATAGGACCTGAGCATCTTGCAGTCATTGAGTCAACCTGTTTTCAGTGCTAACCACAGTCATTAGCACTATTGCCTCAGAGCAAGAAGGTTCTGTGTTCAAATTCACTCGTCAACTCGTCAAGTTTGCATGTTCTCTCCGTGCTTTCAATTGTTGAATTGTTTCAATTCAATTGTATTTATACACCACCGAATTACAACAGCAGTAGCCTCAAGATGCTTATTACAAGGTAGAGACCCTACAAAAATACAGAGGAAATTATTTCAGTGTGCTCTCTCCAGGCACTCCAACCTTCATTTACCATCCAAAGACATGCATAGATTAGCTTAAGCGGGAATATTAAATTGGCCATAGGTATAAAAGTGAGATTAAATGATTTGTTAGTTGTCCCTGTGATACACTGGTCAAAAATACCTTGTTTTTATAGCAATGATGGTGAACCCATGACCTAGTTCATAAAACCTGTAATACAGCACTGAAGGGACACCATTTAATTGGACTAAAGCTCGGGTCTAAGTGTTAATGTATTTGATGCTTCCTTTATACAATGAAAAACAGGCTTCAGTGTTAAGGACTCTCTTTCATCCACACAAGTTCAGGTAAACTTCTCAAAAAGGCGAACCTTAAGGTGCTTTTTTCTCTAATTAGGCTGCAGTAACATGACTTTACAACAAAAAGCATATAAAAGAGCAGGTGTGGATAGGGACACACACTTATGGACAGAATATGTCACTGCAGGGCAAGTGCAGTACTAAACTGCTGGATTAACCTTTTAACCTTCTATAACAGAAATCCTCTCAACAACCTGGGAGGTTCAACTCAGGAGAAACAATCAGCTAATCTGTAAACTGGCCACAGAAAATGCCACCAGACTATTGGTTTTTCTTTTGGTTTTTTTAGAGCCTTCATTTTGGCCATTTCTCATTTCTTAGACATTTTCAACAAGTTCTGAAAAAATGTAAAGCTAGAACAGTTTTCTAGAGTTCTTTTGAGGACTACGTTGACATTATCATGCAATACATGCATAACTACTACAATAACACTTGTATTACTACACAATTCTTTTGCGTCAACTTGCAACTTTAGCACAGGATGGAGTGCAGTGAGTTTTACAGAAAGAAGCAGATATTATGCTGAAAGAGTTATTAAAAGCTTCTATGTACTACATTCTAACTCCTCTACATCACAATTTAACCAATATGTTTGGTGTGAGAAAACTCATGTGTTAAGATTACAAGTCACTGAGTAACTGATTAATTTACTTGCAAATGCTACTTCTGTTTCCATATTTTTGTATTTGAATAATAACATGCAGATTGTAACTGATCTCCAAGCAGAGTCAGGGGCAGCTTGTCTAACAAGTTGGTCTCCTGTCAACCCTTTGTTAACAGGGGTACAGACACACTCATGACAGAAATGACAATTTCCTACAGATCCAATTCAAGCTACGTAGGTTCCAGATACAATAGGAGACACAATTTATAGGATGGATGGAACATGAGATTCAATTCAATTCCATTCAAATAGCCCCAATTCACAACAACTGTTGCCTAAAAGTAAGGCTTACAATCACACAGCCCCCCTATGAGCAAGCACTTGGAAGGAAAAGGAGCAGCAATACAGAAGCGGTGTATAAAAACACAGATAGTAAAAAGTGATAAAAATGTATTATGGGCACCCACTGCAGCCTCAGCCTGTTGTCATATGACCCACCCTAACTATATGCTTTATCTAAAATTAAAGTTTTAAGTTTAATATTAATGGTATCTGTCTTCTGAATCCAAATTGTGAAATGGTTCCGTGGAAATGGGTCCTTACAGCTAAAAGCTCTACCTGCTTTTAAAAGCTCTAGGAACCACAAGTAGATAGCGGTCTGAGAGCAAAGTGCTTTCATAGGATGATATATGATATGATATGATATATCTGAAGTATTATGAGGTCCTTAAGATATGACAGGGCCTGATTATTCAAGATTTTGAATCTAAAGATTATTTTAAATTCAATTCTGATTTTAACAAGGAGTCAGTGAAGAGCACTAATATAGGAGAAATATTCTCTCTTTGTAGTCCCTGTCAGTACCCTCGCTGCAGCATTCTGGATCAACTGAGGGGCTTTTAAGGGAGTTTTTCAAGCAACGTGAAAATACTGAATTACAACAGTCCAGCCTAGATGTAATAAATGTAAGCTAGCTTTTCAGCATATTTCTGACACAGTGATGGGCCACGGTAATGTCATCTCAAGTATTTAGTGAGACATCGTGTTTCTAAGATTCCTAGGACTGAGTACAATAACCTCAGTTTTATTGAAATGTAAAAGTTAAAAAAAAAAAAAAAAAAAAAAACAGATCAATCCAGGCTTTTATATCTTTAAGACGTGACTGTAGTTTTACAGGCTGATTTGTATCATATGGCTTCATGGATAAATAAAGCTGGGTATCATTTGCATAACAATGAAAACCTATGCAGTGTTTCCTAATAGTATTGTCTAAGGAATGCATGTATAATGTAAAAAGTATTGGTCCCAGCACAAAACCCTGCTGAAGAAGACTCCCCATTTACATACACAAACTGGAATCTGTCAGATAGATATGCTTTAAACCCAAGCAATATCATCATGCATTTAAATCTTTGTAGCAAACAGACAACACTATGGAAGCACACAGATGAGTCTACAGCTGGAGAACTGCAGGCCATATTACCTGTGACACAACAGGTGAACAGTAAGAATGTACAGCTGATAAATGTGATAGGAACATCTCTGATAAATCCCATATAGGTTACTATATGAAATAAGTCACTATATGAAAGTTTGAAATTAATTAATCTACACAGATGAAGCTACACAAAACATTACTATGAGTTATAAAAGAAGGTAATGAGATAGTGAAGTGAGAGCCAAAACCAAGTGAGAGATCTGTACATGGGAATGTATTTGCACAACCTCATGGTAAATTTAACATAACTCTACAACATTTTAGAGTTACCTTGCAAACATTACCTTTCAACAAGGTAACGTAAGTTCCTCAAAAGATTTGTGTGCCAGTTCCAAATAAGATTTGCCTTAATTGCTATACTTTTACATTATCTGACAATAAGTTTTACATGAACTCAGAAATTTTTTACATAGCCTTGCGTAACTTTACTCAAATTTAATCAAAGTTTTACCTGCATATGAAGCACAAAATTCAAAATAATGCTGCATCCATGTTTTCCAAAAGAATTTCTCATTTTGATTCATTGACCGCAAAACAGTTTTTGATTTTGCTTAAATCCATTCTAAATGAGCTTTGAATCAGGATCTGGATCATGTTTACATTTGCCTTTTTTCCCCACATGTCATAATCTTTGCGAACACATAAATATAGATTCATGAGTTTCGGAAATACTATTTTTTTAATATTTCAAGCAGCATCGAAGTTCTTTTGGAATCGGGAAATTGGGATTCTAAACTTTCAGCTTCCATAAGCCTCCAGGAAAACATAAAGATCTCTATCAAATAAGGTACCAGACATAATTACATGTGACTAATTATTCTTATGTGCATAGTTATCACCCAGAAACTTTGAGCCAAGAAAATGTGTTTAGTTCTTGCAATGTGCATTCCTTTTGATTCACATGAAGAGTTGGTATATATAGGGGTGGCTGTAGCTCAAGTGGTAGAGCAGGTCATCCACTGATCGGAAGGTTGGTGGTTTGATTCCTGGCTTCCCCTAGTCTACATGACAAATATCCTTGGGCAAGATACTAACCCCAAATTGCTCATCCATCGGAGTGAGCGCTATATAACACGCTCCGATTAACACTGGGACCACTGTTACCTTCATCCTCCACATCTTCTCGAGCTCTTCTCTGAGCCTTGGTATTTCTCAAACTTCTCGTGTTCCTTCTTCTTGATGTAGCTGTCATTCGGTATCACTACAGCCGTTTTCCTCTGCTTGTCCACCACTATTATGTCTGGTTGATTAGCCACCCTCATTTTTTCCATCTGTATCTGGAAGTCCCAAAGGATCTTAGCATGGCTCATTGTCGACCACCCTTTTGACCTCAGGACTTCCTGGCCATACTCAACACAGATGTTCCTGTACACTATGCCGGCGCCTTGTTTATGGCGTTCCACGTATGCCCTGCCTGCCAACATCCTTGCATCCTGCTGTGATGTGCTGGAGTGTCTCAGGGGCATCTTTACACAGCCTGCAACTGGGGTCTTGCCTGGTGTGGTAGACTCCAGCCTCTATGGATTTTATACTTAGAGCTTGTTCCTGTGCTGTCTTTCAGTCCAGCCCCTGGTAGGATTTCTGGATGTCAGCCACTTCTTCCATCTGCCGGTGATGCATAACATGCAGGGGCCGGTCCTTCCATGATGGAAATTGAAAACCCAGAAGTTCAATTCCTTGGAATATTTAGTCTGTCAGTTGGTTTCAGTTTGTGTGCTGGAGAAGGTAATTAATGGCCCAGTCTACTCTGTGGATATGGAGATTACTTTTATTTTTACAAGAGTGCAATGGTAAAGTGTAAAGAATAGAAACACTTGCATTATACTGCCAAAACATAAGTGATATGGATGATGGAATCAGAATAGCTAAATTCTTATGAATTCCCAATTTATTCTTAGGTTGTTCCATTACAGACCATGAAACTGAAGTGCTGCACAAGTTCAAAGCCATTTATGCTCATATTTGAAACACACGAATATCAAGACCTCCAAGTTGGCACAAAGAACAGGGGCAGAAACAGCTTATAACACTCTAACCCAGTGACTATCACGGAGACTTCAGTTTTATCTGAACTGACAAGTTTGTCTGGGATAGGAAGAACACAGCTTCAATTTTGTATTTGGGTCAGTAAATGGTACAAATGTAAATGCACATGTGTTGGTATACGTGTGTCTCACCCATTGTTGGTGTGCTTAGAGCCATGACTCCATAGTAGGAGAACGGGCCAGTTTCAAACTTCATGTTCTCATTTCCGGCTTCAACCTCCACCCGTCCCTGTAATATAAATACGAATGCAAACGTAAATATACAAACACACAGACAAACACAAACTAGGGAAATCTTTGATGAAGAAGTGACCATTCCAAACATTTTCAGTAACACAAGGCTTAGATGGGGACCAGGCTGCTAAGCTAAAACTATCTTTGTGGAAAGGTCTTCTTTATGTCTATCATTTAATGACCAAAAGAGATTTTCCATCAGACAATAACAGAGACATCTCCTTGAAAACCACATCTGACTCCTGCAGAAAATTTTGTGCACAACTGTAGCATCAGCCTGTTTACTGGCTTCTGTAACCACACAGCCTCCACTTCTGCCATGCAGACCACATTAAGATCTAAAACCACTACATCCTGACTCAATATGTCAGCAACGCTAGGCTTGGTCTACTGTTTATGAGAAATGGTCAATTTGTTTATATGAATATATAAAGTCTGAAAGATCCAAAATGTTTTTTTAGAGGAAGCATTTCAGCATAAGAAGCTGTGGTATGCCAACTTGGCAGCTGAGGCAGAGGACAGAGGCTGGAAGATCAAGGTGCGCCCGGTGGAAGTGGAGTGCACGGACTTTGTTGCCAGTACAACAGCAAAACTGCTTAGAGAGATTGGGATCAGAGGACAGGCGCAATGGCAGGCTATAAGAGAACTAGCTAACACTGCTGAGAGGACCAGTCACTGGATATGGTTAAAAAGGGCTGACATCACTTGGGCAGCTACAACTGTCAGCTAACCGCGAGAGAAAAGAAAATATTATGCTCTTCTCCCCTCTGCTCTTCTTCCCTTTTCTGGGAGGCGGTGGGGAGGTAGAGCGTACAGCCCAATCCAGCGGGCAGCTGTGGGAAGCCAGATCGGATGCCCCCCTTCCGGCTCTCCTCTCTGCTCTCTCCTATCTTGTACCTTTTCTATCCCTTTGAAGAAGTGAAGCTCCATAAATGCTAAAGAGGTAAGTATTATTTCTCAGTTGCAGTGAATAGATAGGAGAAAATAAACTGTACAAAAATAAACAGAAGAAAAAATAATAGAAATAACAACTTAACATAAACCAGTGACACACTGCAGGGCCTGATCAACCCTGGCAGGACCTCCTTGGATTGTCCACTACTGATGATGTGTCCCAAATCTTAATATGATAACCTAGATCAGATCTCTAATCCCCCCCCCCAAAACAATGGCAGATTAGCTTGGTAAAAGACCAAAAGTTGAGGCACACAACGATGTGTGCTGCTGGTAAAGTTTCTGGGCTGCCTTTCCTCATAACAGTCATCCCTCAAGATTCTCGCCATTTAAAGCTATGCATTATCAGGGAGTACAACATCTAGTCCTTTTACTGAATTTAAAGGGGCGTGAAATAGAGTTACTTCCATAGCATTTCATTAGTTGTTGTTTTGGGGTTTGTTTTTTTTTTCATTTTAATGATTTGCTTTTAATAGAGGAATCCATGTTGCCTTTACCAAACTGGCATGATTAGTAATGCAAAAGCCCAAATGTTTTTGCACTTTTGAATGTATCACATTTCCAGTAATACTCTCAGCCAGCTATATTACCTTAATCATGTTGCTGAACATCTTTCCTCACACCCTGTTTTGCAGGACATTTTACTATTTCCCTTATTTCCAGGATTTACTGCCCTGTCCTCCAGGGCAGTAAATCAAAACCTCAAAAGGTTTTCAGGCTTTCCAGGACCTGCAGGAACCAGACTGTCTATGTGATACATGTGTGCCCTGGAGTCTCTGCAGTGAAAAATCCACGAGTCGGGTCTTATGGCATGTAAGAGAAACACCTTAGCCTCCTATAAATATTACATCCTGCCGCAGGCACTCCAGTGTAGGGTTCAGTGTCTCTTTACCTCAAACAAATCAACACATAGACGTTTGTGCTTTCCTTGCTCTCAGGACTCCCGATAATACACTGCCTTAATTTAACCTTTAACATAAATGCTGCACTGATCTGATTCCAACCTAAAACTCAATGCAGCGCCACGAGGTCTGTCAATAAAGACAAGCTAAAATCTACATTTTCCAAGGTATAAGGATCAAACTGGTCCTCACCAAGACAGACACGTGTGCACACACACACACACATTGCCAAGTGGTGGAATGGGAGCAGTTCTGCTCAGGTTGCACACTGAGCATGCAGAGTCCCTCTATCCACACCTCAGGTGTTGACAACAAAGCCTACAGAAACTAACAACAGTTTCGCCTCAGCACAGCAGACACAGCCATCGTATGTGTATTCATCTGCATCTTGCTTTGAAACACTAAATAGAGAACTTGTACTCAATTCTCCAAATACCCTCCTAAGGGCATGCACACTTTTGTTGTACACTGTAAGTACCTTAAGTCAGGTACAGACTCGAAAGGTGTTTAGAGCCTGCATGTGTGCAAATCACCCCTACACACACACACACCAACCACTCTAACAACCAGAGATAAACCTGTTGGTCACCAGATTAAGCAGGTCAATCTACGTCATCCAGTCTGACTACATTATGACCCTTGAAATCTATGGAGGACCAAAACTGCCAAAATGAAAATAGATAAATGAATCGATAAATCAATAAGAGACTCAAAAAAGAATAAATCATGAATCCCAAAAATACAATGTAGAGTACTTCTTATTTAGTGTCAATTTAATTTACATTTGGTTTACAAATGTATAAACATTCACATTTTCAGTGGTTTGAGGAGACTATGAGCACGTTAAGATAACTGTGATTTAATGCTAAATGAATACAATTGAATTGAAGTGAACACTTACACTATGCATTCATTCATTTGATTTTGTACTTCTCTGCCTGTATCATTCTCCACATGCATTGTTTCTGATTTTTTATTTCTACATTTCTTTGTGCATTTATTTTTTGATATATAAATGAAGCAGGCAATGAGTGAAAGTGTCACATGGAGTCAGATTTTTGCCTATTATCTGACTGATGTTAAGATGAATGAGCAGTGGTGAAACCACAAAACATACTGTTATTGTAGTCACCCCTAAAATGATCTTTATCAGTCTAAGTGTATGATATTTTTGCAATATTTTCACCAATGCGCAACTCAAGGCTTTAAATATCTCTAGCTTCAAAGCCATCAGACTCTGTTAGCAATGACAGTCACTTTATCTTTGGTTAGTCAGCTAGGTTTGGAGTGGTGTGCAACTTTAGTGTTTTTAACTTATTAGCATACTTGGGCAGAAATCTCATAGAGACTAGCTGGGAACCACCAGTCCCTAGGGCAGGGGTGTCAAACTCAAATACACAGTGGGCCAAAATTCAAAACTGGAACAAAGTCGCGGGCTAATGTTAATATTTATTGAAATATATTTATTCCTCCAGATATAAGAATGAATCTTTTCTTATGGACTAAAACACGTTTTGCTGAAAAACTGAATATGGAACAAGCAAAGCTTAATACTAAACAATATATATATTAGCTATATAATACCAGTAGGCCAGCTCTAATAGTAATTTGGTATGGCTTCGCAGACCAAATGTAATTAGGCTGCGGGCCAAATTTGGCCCGCGGGCCAGAGTTTGACACCTATACCCTAGGGGAAAAAATGACTATTCCACAGCCAGTTGTGAGAACTTGACCAAAGTGTACTTGGTCATAAAGAATTTTATGGTGCTGCATCAAAAACGGTGTTTGGTGTTCAGGAGATTGTCAATAGGTTGTATGGAACATGACAATTTGTCTGCAAACACTCACCAATTACTCACCAACTGGTAGTGAAACAGTATTTCAAAAGTCCCAGACATACTCCTGATTACCACCAAATCATATAGGTGATGTCACCATTTCTACAGACTATATGAATGTGTTTTTACCTGCAGAATGAGAACAAAGTAGTCGACAGGTTTGCCTCTCTGATAGAGGAAGTGCTGTGGCGATCGTTTATCATTTTCATTAAACTTTAGTTCCTGGATGACATCCGGATGTTTGAGGATCCTAAGTAGGACTTTCTCTGTGATCTGGAATGGGCTGAACAGGCTCACCTCTAATGGGAGAGAAACAAAGACATTGTAAACGATCAAATTAAAACAGCAGAAAATACAGGCCTTGGACTAATTATTGACTGAGAGGTTTTTAGTAGATAACTTTATAGCATTTTACAGTCAATAAATAAAAATCAGCTGATTAGTTTAAGCCCTGTTAATTTGCATACTAAAAGATAGCATGTACAGACAGTGGCTGTGATTCAGCAGAGGATAATAGTCAGTGGCACTGAAACAAATGTGTGCTGGCTAAATGCAAGATTATTGCCTAGTGAATATCACCTGTGGCCAGGAAACGATGAGCTGCCAGTAGGAGCTGAGGAGAGATCTTCACCTTACTGTCCCCTTCTTGCTTGAACGCTGAGAAGTCGCGTTTGTTTTTGTTGGGATCCACCTTCTTCCTGTTCCTGTTGTCAGCTGTGGCAAGAAAGAAAAGAAATAGGAGTTTAAATAATAGTAAAAATGAATGAAATTAAATGAAAAGTCATGTTTTGCTCTGTTAAAATTTCAAAAAAGTTTAAACTTAGAAAGGTGAAAGTCAAAGAGGAGGAGGCAGCACGAGCAGGCACCAGCTGATAGCACTCCGGCAATTTCAGTGTTTTTTTACGGTGTCCCACACAAACCGTTAACTAACTGACTCTATTGCACTCCACATACCACTGCCTTTGTAATGCAGATGCTGCTCCATGGACAATTCTACCCTCAAGAATCTCATGTTTACAAGCTGCTACACTGGTCACTTTAAATCATTAAACCTGTAAATTGTAAATTTTAAAATGTTATTGATCCTTTTACCTTACTCTTAAGCGTATATTTATTTCTCTTCTTATATTTATTGTTGTCTTTTGCACTGAATGGAACTGGAGCCTCGTCTGTACTGTACTGTACATAGCAGAGATGACAATAAAGTTTACTTTGAGAAGTTATAAGGTAATGCTAGCAAGCTTGTTTACCAAGGTGAATTCACAAGCTATACAGGTGTAACGCAAAGCAATACGTGTCAGGCAAATGAATAATAAAATATTAAAAATATACTCATTAAAACTAAAGGAACAACTTTTGTGGTCTGTAACTTACAGCAAGTCAAATTATTAGGGACATAAAAACACTCCATCATGTGAGTTATTAAAGGTTGAGCTTTTCAGACCTTAGTCATGTTAATGTGATCATTAACAATATAAATATCATAAAGTTGGACACTTTAACATGGGAGACTGTGGGGATTTTATTTAACATTTAAATTATATATAATTATATATATTATGAGTAGGACAACACAGCAATCATCTCTAAGTACAGGTCCTGCGTACATGTGCTGCTGTATCACTGTACCAGTGCTTTTGTCGGTGAGTGAGTGTTTATGTGTTATAACATTTATGTGAGTGCTGCAGTCAGCAATTAGCAAGAGCTGACTCACTGTAGAGGTCAGATTCATCCAGGATCTCTGACTTGATGATCTCCTCGATAACATCCTCTAAGGTGACTAATCCCAGCACCTCATAGAAAGGATCTCCCTCCCCCTCATTGTTCACCTTCTGGACGATGGCCAAATGAGATTTACCTGGTGAGGACACAGATCACCTAAAGGTTATGAGAAACAAGAGCACTGTAGAACATGCATATCATTTTTCTCATCATTTTAAATTCCCTATGTTTCCAGAAATCATTTAACAGGAAAGTGGGGCAGCATCAAACACGACAGAGGAGAAGAAGTTAGCGAGTTTCAGTGCAGCTGCTGCGTCTTTAACTTCAGCATCTAGCCTTTAGACAGATTTAGCTCCTGCTACAAGAAAACATCCTTTTTTGTTTTACAACAGTCACACTGCTATTCGATCTGTCAGTGGATTTATCCTGACTGATGAGAGGGCAGACTCATGCCTTAATATAGCCCAGACTAGGCTAAGAGCTTTGAAGAGAAAAGAGTTGGAAGGACTGCCAGAATGAGATAAAGAGAAGTGAGACAGAGAGAGAGGCAGGAGGAGAACGAAGCTAAGTATAAAGAGGTATATAACAAGAGGACACAAAGCATTAATGCACTCATGACTCTGCATTGTTCTCACAACACTCCCCACATGCACCGACTGCATGCAGCACTGTGTGCAAACAACTAAACCTGATACAACATGATGAGCAATGGCTGCCAGTAAGAGTTAAGTAAAAACATTATCAGGTCAGCAGGATGGAAACCTGTCACAGTTCATGGTCATCAAACACCAGCAGAAGCAGAAGCACTATCTACTTTTGGCCTCCATGGTGCTCACTGATTTGTATGAAGTAAAAGAAACAGAAATGTCTGTTTTCAGCAAGAAAACATTTATTCTGTTTCAATAGGTTTCATCAACTCCAGTGGTGAACCTTTAAACAGCGTTTCATTCCCAGCCTTTTTCACCTGACCTGCTTTGAAAAGGTCTTGAGCAACCCATTATTTCTTTATATTTTGCAAGGAAATAGGCACAGTGACTTACTGAAGTGTTGTGTGTTTTTATGTCCAGGTTATGCATTTACTGCATTGACAATATGTTTTGGATAATTTTCATACTGAAAACCGAAGCAGTTGCCCATCATACACTTTCCAGTTCGTATTGCATGGTAGATTAAAATCTGATGATACAGCCCAAATCAAAAAATTAAGACCACACGAAAAATGACAACAACAACAAAAAAAAAAAGCATATTATGCATGCTTGGATCTTAACAAGGTTCCAAGTAGAGCCTCAATATGCAGCAAGGAGAAATGGGAGAGAGAAAAAACATTTTTTGAGCATGCAATTTGTTGAAAACAACTCTTACACTGAAGCAGGCTGCTATACAGCTGATTAAAAGTTTTGGACCACACCTCCACACCTCCAGTCATGCCAATAACGTTGGAAACATTCGGGACCATCCATTCATCCATCCATCCATTTTCTTCCACTTATCCGCGGCAGGGTCGCGTTGGCAGCAGCCCAAACAGAGAAGCCCAGACCTCCCTCTCCCCAGCCACCTCCTCCAGCTTGTCCGGGGGAACACCAAGGCGTTCCCAGGCCAGCCAAGAGATATAATCTCTCCAGCATGTCCTGGGTCTGCCCTGGGGCCTCCTCCCGGTGGGACATGCCCGGAAAACCTCACCCAGGAGGCGCCCAGGAGGCATCCTTGTTAGATGCCCAAACCACCTCAACTGGCTCCTTTCGAAATGGAGGAGCAGCAGCTCTACTCTGAGCCCCTCCCGAATGGACAAACTTCTCGCCAGCCACCCTATTTCCGCTACTTGTATTCGCCATCTCGTTCTTTCGGTCACTATCCACAGCTCGTGACCATAGATGAGGCAGGGGCGTAGATCGACTGGTAAATTGAGAGCTTCGCTTTTACACTCAGCTCTCTTTTCACCACATGGGACAGGTACAGTGTGCGCATCACTGCAGCCGCTGCACCAATTGGTCTGTTGATCTCCCTCTCTCTTCTCCCATCACTCGTGAACAAGACCCCGAGATACTTAAACTCCCTCACTTGGGGCAGGAACTCGTCCCTGACCCGGAATGGGCACTCCACCCTTTTCCGGCTGAGGACAAAGGCCTCAAATTTGGAGGTGCTGATTCTCATTCCCACTGGTTCACACTCAGCTGCGAACCGTTCCAAGGCAAGCTGTCCATCACCTGATGAAGCCAACAGAGCCACATCATCTGCAAAAAGCAGAGATGAAATCCTGAGACCACCCAAGTGAAAGCCTTCTTCCACTTGGCTACACTTAGACATTCCGTTCATAAAAATTATAATTTCATAAAAATTATGAACAGAATGGGTGACAAAGGGCAGCTCTGGCAGAGCCCATCACTCACCAGGAACGAGTCAACTTATTGCCGTCTATGCGGACCAAGCTCTTGCAACTGTTGTACAAGGACTGAATGGCCCGTAGCAATGGGCCAGACACCCCATACTCCTGGAGCACCCCCCACAGGACCCCCGAGAGACACGGTCAAATGCCTTTTCCAAGTCCGCAAAACACATGTAGACTGGTTGGGCAAACTCCCATGCACCCTCAAGCATCCTCAAGAGGATAAAGAGCTGATCCAGTGTTCCACGAACAGGACGAAAACCGCACTGTTCCTCCCGTTTCCGAGGTTCGACTAACGGACGGACTCTCTTCTCCAGCACCCTGGCTTAGACTTTCCCAGGGAGGCTGAGGAGTGTGATTCCCCTGTAGTTGGAACACATCCTCCGGTCCCCTTTCTTTAAGATGGGGACCACTACCCCCGGTCTGCCAGTCCAGGGGTACTGCCCCTGATCTCCACGTAACATTGTAGAGACGTGTCAACCAAGACAAACCCTACAACATCCAGAGCCTTCAGGAACTCTGGGCAGACCTCGTCCACCCCAGGGGCTCTGCCACCAAGGATTTGTTTAACTGCCTCAGTGACCTCGCCCCCAGAGATTGGCGGGTCATCCCCTTCATCCCCAGACTCTGCTTCTGCAACGGAAGACGAGCCAGTGGGATTGTGGAGGTTCTCGAAGTATTTCTTCCACCGCCCGACAACTTTCTCAGTCAAAGTCAGCAGCACTGTACTGGTGCCACGTGCACTTATGGACACTCTTATGTTCGAACATGGTGTTCGTTATGGCCAAACTGTGGTTTGCAAGGAAGTCCAATAACAAAACACCGCTCGGGTTCAGATCCTGGAGGCCGTTCCTCCCAACCACGCCCTTCCAGGTCTCACTGTCATTGCCCACGTGAGCACTGAAGTCTCCCCAGGAGGAGCACCCTCCAGTACCCCACCAAGGGACTCCAAGAAGGCTGGGTACTCTGAACTGCTGCTCAGCGCGTAAGTGCAGATGACAGTTAGGACCCATTCCCTGACCCGAAGGCGAAAGGAACAAACCCTCTCGTCCACTGTGAGAAACCCCAACATACCAGCAGCAAGCCAAGGGATTACCAAGATACCCACCCCAGCTTGCCGCCTCTCACCAGGGGCAACTCCGCGAATCCACGAATCGCTACCTTATCGTGGTGGAGGGGTTTGTGTGTCCCAGGGGTCCCATGGGCTATGTTGTCTGGGGGATTTTTGCCTCCTCCCATGGCAGATTGGTCCTAGGTGAGAGACCAGACAAAGAGCGATTCAGAAGACCTCTATGAAAAAAACAGATTCACCCTGCCTGGGATAGGGTTACCGGGGCCACGCCCTGGAGCCAGGCCCAGAGTGGGTGCCTGAGGGCGAGCGTCTGGTGGCCGGGCCTTAGTCCAGGGGGCCTGGCCGGACACAGCCCGAAAAAGGGACATGGGCCCATCTTCCTGCAGGCCCAACACCTGCACAAGTCACCGTAGGGGCCGGGTGCAATGTGAGCCGGGCGACAGCCAGGAGCGAAGTTCCTTGCGGACCGATCCCCGGCTACCAAGATTGGCAATTGGGACATGGAATGTCACCTCTCTGGTGGGGAAGGAGCCTGAGCTAGTGTGTAAGGTTGAGAGGTACCGGCTCGATATAGTCGGGCTCACCTTAACGCATGGCCTGGCCTCTGGAACCAGCCTCCTGGAGAGGGGCTGGACTCTGTCTCAGTCTGGAATTTCCCCATGGTGAGAGGTGGCAGGCTGGGGTGGGTAACATTCAGGAACATCAAGGTAAAAAATTTTATCGTCAGAGAATAAAACTTTCTTCAACCTCCAATATCCCATGTTTGTTGCTCTCTTGCAAAGTCCAAACTGTCAGTTCTGTGGGAGTTCAAGGAGAGGAGGCCTTTGAAGACGTTTTTTGTTTTTGAAGCCCTTCAGTCTCAGATGCCATCTGATGGTTATTAGGCTGCAGCCTGCACCAGTAACGGCTTTAATTTGGGTCGAGAATCGTCCAGTGGCTGTCTGTCAAGACACCAGCACTGAAATTTTTGGGGGTCTTCCACTTGACTTTCTTGTTCCATAATCCTCCGGATCATTTAAGGAATTCCAAATGACTGTCTTAATGCGTCCCACCTCAGCAGTGATGGCACACTGTGAGAGAAACTGCTTATGCAGTTCAACAACCGAACACATTCAAAAAGGGAAATTTTTTTTTTGCCTTTGCAATGAGAATGTCAGTGTGACTACCTGACAGAAAATGACAATTAATCCACATTTTTGCACAGATTTGGCCTTTTAAAGGCATGTGATCTTAAACTTTTGATCAGCTGTAAAATGCTCAAAATTTTTTTTGTCTCACTCCCATTTCTTTTTGTTGCATGTTGAAGCTCTACCACCATGCAAAATTTTTAATTTATTTTAATTGGGACTGTACTTTTGACCATATTCCCAATACCACTTGTTGAAATGCAACCCTAACCCATGAAAGAACCTCCATCATGTTTTCTAGATGTCTGTGGACACTCACTGTGGTACTTCTTTTCTAACTTCCTCTGTGTGACTTGAACCAAAAGTTTCAAATTTGGATTCATCACTCCATAAACCTGTTACCACTGAATTTCAATCCATTTCTAGTGTAATGGCATACCTCAGCTTTTTCTCTCCATTTCCCATCCTTAAGTATAGCTTCTTGAAAGCCACTCTTTCACCAGCAACCTTGACACCATAGGCTGATGTATCTCTCAGGTCCTCTGTCAGGACACTCTGCATGCCATGCTGAGATATGCCAGATTTTGGGCTAATAGCTTTTTGAGATCTTAATGGTACAAAAATACTATTGCATGCCTGTGAAACTGTTATCTTTCACAAGTTTTATAGTTTCAGTAAATACAAGGAAACAACTTACCGTATGTGCTTTTGCAAAAGGCCCCAAGCAACAACGTGCCTAATAATATAATTTAAAATTGATTAATTGCCAAGCTGTCCATTGCGTGTAGACATGACACTGGTTTATCCCTGGTGTTAAGAGCCTGAATATGACTGAATGATTCACGGCATACATATAAATATATTATATAATTTATAGTTCTTCATGTACTCAAACAGCCACTGTTTGAGGCTTAGTGCTTTCAGTGCATCAATATATCATCAGTAGTTTGAATAGTGAGCAGCTTCAGCCAACAGATTCAAACATTTGCCCCATGAGGCAAAAAAAATGACTTTGACATCAAGATTTCTATCAAACAGCTTTCTTCTTCCTACATGTGCTTTAAAAACATTTTAAAAAAATGTTCTGTGTTAAGAAATTATTGTAAAATTAAAAAAAAAAAAACTATCCCTCAATTTTCTTCTGACATGTTTAAGCAGAGATGCCCACTTCCCTCCTCCACGCCTGGGGAGACAGAGGTTTTCGCATCCAGCATGTCCTGGGTCTGTCACAGGGTCTTCTGCTACTTGGACATGCCTAGAACACCTTACCTAGGAGGCTTCCTAGACAGATGCCTGAACAACATCAACTGACTCCCTTCACTGTGGAGGACCAGCAGCTCTACTCTGAGCCCTTCCTGATGATCTCTAATGCTGAGCCTAGGCACCCTTCAAAGCAAGTTCATTCCTGCCACTTGTACCCACTTGTAAAGGTAGGAAAATAGACTACTGGGTAACTCACAAAACCACAGATGCTTCACTAATTTGCTTCAAGCTCCCATAAATTATCCCCTCCCACTCAAAATATTTCACCTGGAACTATGAAACTATTAAAGTGAGAATTAGTCTCTTATGACCCATCATAAAGACAGCCTACCATGACCAAACAAAGCCACAACTGCTAGCACTGTAGTGTGCAGTCCTAGCAATGTGGTAGCCAGCAGCCAAAGACATGATGACTCATACATCAGACAGCACTACTACCACCATCAGTCCCACCCCCCACAGGAGGTTTGAACGCCATCTCCTTACAGCACATTTTTAGCAGACAAGTTCAGTTTCTAACCTTAAACAAAAAGTGTCTCTCATCAAAAATGTGCTCATGTTGTTGAAGATTAATGGGCTGAAATATAAAAATCCAATAAATTTGTTCAGTTTACGGACTCTAACCAAGCCTGACAGCATTAACCGATAAAGCCTGCCAGCTTCTATTTAAATCTAGTCTCTTATGGTTCCAAAAAACTAAAACTGACAGTGATAGGTTCGTAGCATAAACCTATTCGCTGGAATGTTCAAGACAATTCTGCTACACAGCAAAGCAAGACACGATTAGGCAAAGTTCTTTATGTTTCTCGTATACAAGGAAGACCAACTGGACAAACGCCGTTCCTTCGCTTGACCCCAGTTGCTCTTGTCTGCTCCCTCGTAACACTGCTCTTTTATTGAGGTTACATGAATACACATAGGCTCATTAACATAGGTACACATGTGAACAAAGAGCACCGTCTGTGTGTGTGTGTGTGTGTGTGTGTGTGTG